GCTGCCTACACCTTTTTGGTGCAGAACCCTTCTGACAGGGATACGCTGGACGGATTGGAGTTCTATATGCAGCAACCTGGTTACAATGACGATATGCTTGTCGATTTACTTCGACAGCCATACCAGGTTAGTAAGTCTAGTGGTAGGCGGCTAGTGGGAGTGGCTACAGCACCTTCATGAGAGTTGTCTTATTGTTAGCGGGCAGTCACTTATAGGGTTTTAGGCTTCTGGTTATCTATTGCTAGGTTCACGGAAGTTCTATGTAGCTTGTTATTGATCAGAGCTTTTTCAGAAGTACTTCATGTCTGGTGTGGAAGCATATAATGATGAAGACTGGGGCCGATGTGTTCACGACCTGGAAACATCGCTGGAGAGAACCATGGAAGAGGATACGAGGTAGGAACAATTTTATTGATCGGTTCGGAAGTTTTTGGAAAATATTATTTTCGATATTTTTGCAAGATCGGAGTTTTCGGGATTGTTTCGAAAAATCGAGTAGAATGTTCGATGCTCGGCTTCTTGTTATTCTGAACCAATCTGTCAATAGCAAGCATTACTTTCGAGTGCTTTTTAGGTGTTTTCCCTTTATAGGTGTAGACTGCTCTGTGAAGATAAAATCGATTGGAGTTCTATTGTGGGGAATCCTGAGATAGATGTGCTTATGACAAGTGAGTTCGGACGGTAAACCTGCTCTAGCGTTCATGTATTTCTACTTAATCTCGTCCGTATGGGGGCGGCGTTGACGACGTCTCCTGCATCGATCGATAGATCAACANNNTATCGATTAGCTCTCATCAATGGTTATAATGTGGGAGAATTACCTGCAGCACATTACGAGTACTTACATTACTGCCACTTCCAATGTGAGTTCGTTTATGATTTTTTTCAGGTGAAAAAGGTTCCGGCAGCTCTTCAAATTTTCCATAAGTCGTTACAGTAATGCGAGGTACGGATGCGGCTCAAGCTGTTGCGAACTATCTGCTGTTTGACGATGATCCTTTGATGCGGAGGAATAAATATCTTTATCTCAAGCAGTACAAGAAACCAGAGCTCTTTATGCCCGACCAGGTTTGTTTATGTTGCATTTATTGAAGCCATCGCCTTTTAAAGCATCGATTCGCAGCGCAAGCGCAAGCGCGTCTCTGACCCACCAGGCACATGAGTTGAGTCCATAAGTATGAATAAATTACAGCATTACGTACTTTTAGAAAATTATCGATATCTATAAGCAGCGTACGCTAGAGGCTCGTTATTTGAAGTTTATTGATGACAAATTCAAATTCGTCAATAACGAGGTTAGTTCAGGCCTCTTTCGATAATGGAAAGGCGTTCACACGAAAAGCTCTATCCTATTTCAGTTCCCAGCAGAGCGTCGAGACGATCGGGTTAAGTTCGACACCACGGTTTCCATCGACGATCCCTTCGACTACGATGCCGTCACACGACTTCTTTCAACTCCAGAATGCCAATCCTTACGATCGCCGTTCCCCGTAGCTCATTTTGATCAGTTAATATCGGAGTTGGAAGCAAGGGTGAAGCTGATTTGGCCAGCTGCCAAGTACGAGTCTCACTCATGTGGAAGTGAATCACGAAAAGCCAGATGTTCTCGAGCTATTGTACTTTCTGTTGATGTCGCCGATTGCTCAGAGTGGCTCGGTGCTGTGCATTCCGGTTGTGCTGTTGTCTTCTGTGCCTGATTATTATTTTTAATAATTTATTTTGATTCGCTTACTTGTCATAGAGTAAATGATTAGAGTCTAGTTTTGTGACCAATTACTCATGAATTTACGCCGTCTCCTTTAATACCATCGGATGTGGATTTATGCTCGAGCGGCGTGCCGCGCTCGTCGCTCTCGCTGCGTGTCGCAGGAATCAGTTGGCACTGGAGCGCGCAATTTAATGAACAGGTTCGAATGGTTGCGGCGCGATTACAATGGGTGATTAAAGTCATTNTTCTATGCCCCGAGGGCTCTATCAAGGGGTTGCCGCCTTCGTGGCGCATCCGTGGGAGTTTGGACGATCAATTGCCTAATGAGGACAGATTGGAGACCTCTTGCTGTGCAGACCTAAGTATATTTTTACTGAGCGCCGGAACATCAGGTGAAAATCGTTGGTTAATCTTTAAAATGGAGTTGTTCATGGTGGATCCTTTTTGCTTCCCAACTTTTCATAGTAATCATCCCAACTTTTACTTGAGGGCAGCTTCTGAGTGTTCATTTTTGCAGTGATGCGTCTTATAAATGATGTCTCGCCGGCACCAAACACATCGCCGTGACATACAGAGCCAGGTAGACCTTTTGACACAGTTGGCCCCTCTCACTGCCACATGTTAGAGAGGGTCTGACATTTTGTTTGGGCAGACTATATGAACTGCAAACAACACATATGAACAACTTCGATTTATCGGAGTTGAGTAAACTTTGTTTTGTTTATGTTTCCAAGCTTTTTAGAAGAAATTCAATTCGAGTAGTGCATTTTCGGCAAGGATTTTATCGATATTCAATGGCTCTGGCTTCTGTTTCCGTTTCACCGTACGACTTGCTTCATGAAGTAATGATGCCAGATAGAAGTAGTCAGGTGTGTCATCACGACCCAATGTTCGAAGATAGAACTGGAAGCACCGCGAAATTTTACCTGCAAGAGTGCAAAGAAAGAGGAACTGCTGTAAGGATCTCACCCCGATTCGGAAAAACGCAAATGGGCAGTTGTTGAGTACCATTCTGGCCGAGAAAAACGGTGATTTCATCCATTGCCTGCAATTATTTCTTCAGAAGACTTCAGAAGAGCCTCTTACAAACAAAAGGGAGTTGTGTTCCGAACGACCGTCCATTGTTGAGGTTACTCTTATGAGTACTGGAACGACAGGCTTCCCGACAACCCCCCAATTCACGGAAGACGCATTCCCGTTCAAGTTAATGAAGGCTGTGTAGGTAGCCTTCCCCCACTCCAACACCGAAACCACAATTCCTAATAGTCAGAAAACTCATTCTCGACTCTTTCAATCTAACAGGACACTGAATCTTCAAATGGCCTCCCTTCTACTTACCTTGGACGGGGCATGTGATCCAAGCATCCCGATGCTAACCCAAGTTTGATAGAAATTTGGAATTCAATGTGTACAAAGTACTGTCAACGTTTAAAATTTTACCGAATATTCGGCTCTTTGTCGTAGGCTGACCACACTTGCGGCTTTTGACTTCGACAGTTCACCCACTCATTGAGGCAATACAGCCATCCCCATAAATCATCAACTCGACCCTTAAAGTAGCAGCTGTAATGAAGCGATATGCACTTGTTTTCCGGCCCAGATTATCGAAGATGATGCATTTGTGGACCTACGGTGACTTGGTTTCAAGTGAATCCTCTCTATCCTCAAAATTCTAAAACTCCTGCAAAAACGTACCTGATCTCGACCGGTTTCTGCATTCAAACTGCTCCATTCCTCGGTGCCTCTCATGCCGGCATGAGAACGAGGCGGTCGATGTTGGCCATTTTCATCCAGATAGGCGCGTGCCATGCCCATATCGTACATGACCACGATATTATTCTAAAAGCTCATTCCTGGTCTCGTATGAGCCACTGGGGAACCACTTCTTTGGTAGAGGAAGGTGCTTCGATCAGTAAGAGAGATAACTATGGAAACGAATCAGACTGCATGGGTTCTATGGATTTTTTTTGTGGTGAGCTCCCTAACCCTACTCTCTGACTACCAGCCTACTTTGTGGGTTCTTCAGCAAATTTTCGGTCTTGTCGAGGCGGAGGGCAAAAAAAGATGGAAACAGATTGAAGCCAGGTTGAAGCCCTCAGGGTACAGCTGAGTGGGATTGTGAACTGTTTTTTTATGCTGTCAACTTTGTCAACGCAGTTCCCCTTGACGAGAACTCAGGCGACTCGTAAGGATGAAGGGCTTACTTCGTACATTCCGACATTTTCGGGTTTGATGTCACGATGAATGAAGCCACATTGATGCATGTCGTAGATTGCCTGAATCTTCTGTCATTAAGAACAAGTTTCTATTGTTGATTTGTTGACAAGAAGCGGCCCAACACAGATTCCCCCTAGTTGACATATGTGACTCCATTATCTGATTCTCTGAGGTGGGCTAAAGAAAAGTAGAGTTGTCGCCGCCTAATAAGGTTTGAAGCTCATTTTAGACTGGAGACATGTGCATGGCATATCCGAAAGGGCGATAAATATTTTCGACAATATTACTAACCTTCAGCAGTTGTAAACCGTACTCGATGATTTTCAATGTCTGCTCTTCTCCTTGAAGGTTTCCAATGATTGGTACCGGATTTCCGGGTAAACACTCCATTAGCACGTACGCGAGTTCAGCAGTCTAAGTATACGGTAATTGGAGTACACAGGTTGGGAAACGGGTGGCATAAGGTCAGGCCCGTCAGGCTCAAGGTTTACCATTCAGCTCCAATACACGGGGCATGGGTAAGGTTCCGGCCTAACTCGACCCACTGGCACACGTTCAAATGCTTTGATTGAATCATTATCAGGAGTGGATCTCGAAGGGCCCTCCACCCGACGGGTGTGGTATCCTCTCCCCGAACGGCGCGTCGCGCTCGCCGCACTCGATCGCGTGCTATGAAGATAGATTTAAACTCCCAGTGGGAGGAGACGGCAGCCGCCGGGGAACCGTGGGAATTCCGGGAGAAGTACCGTCATCCCCAGTCGACCAGTTGAAACCTGAAGAAGTTGGCAGATCGGGAGGCATCACGGAAACCAGTAACTGTTCTTGTCCGGCTCTGATTTCTCTTTCAAAGCTCGACCTCTGCATTGAAGCATTTATTAGGCAGTATCGATTACAGGATGAGAAAGGGAGGCGATCAATACTACATGCTGCACTGCTACGTAAGAATACGGTATTGGGCACTTCTTGCTCATCAAAGTCGAGCTGTCCAGAAGTACTCAAGCATCAGAAAGTAACTCTACCTTTGCTCCTATAGTAACTTGAGCAGTACCACTTCCCAGTTTTCGAACTAAATGCACGGTACGGTCTTCAGCATTGTGCCTTCCGATCTAAATGGCTAGACTTGAATCGGCAAAATAGTAAAAAATAAAACATGGGTACATTTCTTAAAATTGGAAATATGATAGCTCGAAATTCATATTACTACGTGTTATTCGAACTCAATTTCTCAAATGAGTTACTTATTATGTAAAATTGGAATTCGAAAAGATACACAGCCAAGGGCCAACAATGAGGTTGGTGTAGGAACGGTTTAGTGTTGCAATCGTAAGTGTATAAAAAGCTGGTCTCACTAGCCCCATTTTTTGTCCTCCATAAAGACCAAACAGGAAGGTGGTTGACTGGTACGATAGGGTGAGGTTTTGGTAATCGAAAAGCGCGCCGCGCTTGTAGCATCCGCTACGTGTCAGAGCAAGTAGTGGGCAGGGTACGATTTGAGCTCCCAGTGCGGAATCATTGTAACTGCCGTGAAACCGAATAGAAAGTCGGGGACGAAGTCCGTCATCCACGATAAATCGGATCCAAAAGCCTCAGCAGTGTTTTACTCTCCAGTACTATGTGTATAGGTACATAACTTGTAGGTGTATAGGTAGTTTAATTGATTATGGTGTAGGAGCAGGTACCTTCCCAGATTGAATGAATTCGGTTGTTGTAGCAGAAGAAGTCTTAGTTGATAAATATCCGTAAAAGTTCACTGACAATTCGATCCATTACAAGACTTTCCCATTCGAGACTTGACGCTGCATAAGTCGATAGGGCTAACTTCATTACCGCTTTTGTTGAACCTTTCTTACACATTAGTACAATTCCATTTGCTCCTGAATGCCGAGTCAATCAATCGAGACAAGAGAAAATGGCGTTCTAGTCTAGTTAATTCTATTCAGAGAATCGCTCTTAATCATATCTATCTGGAGCGCAATGGGCGTGGTAAGTGGGCGGAGAGTTAGGTCGTACGCGTGGACGCTTGTCTCGGTTTACACAGTACAGCAGACTCCATAACCGGAGAACGTCCGTTGCGCGCGTCCGTCAAAACTAGGTCACCCCGCCCACTTCGCGCGCGGCGCACCCCCACTGAGGTCCCAAGATGACATTACAGTATCACCAAGTGTCCATGGAGCGAACGATTTG